CGAGAGGCTGCGGTGAGCTTCGCTCGCCAAGTTAAGTTGAGACGGGTTTCTTCAGAACGGCAGTGGCACTCACATGCAAAGTTTTTCACGGCCCACGACAATTCTTATATTACCATATGGTCTAATGAAGCGTGCAATATGCATTGCGCCCTCATCGCTTCCTGCCTCCCACGTGGGATGGAGCCAGGGGCTATGCCGAGAGCTGAAATTTTGTTGCAAGGCACGAAGAGTGCTTCAGGATACTCAAATAGCTGGTAGCTCCCGCGCACACCTTGCGTAAGAAAATGCATTTGTGACCACGACAACACGAAACAGCGCAAGCAACATTCGTGGATTCAAAGGAAAGATCACAAGACGAATACAGCGGCTAGATGGTCATGGATCAGTGCAAAATGGAAATGTAAAGAAAAATTCACAAGGATGACTTCATCTGCATTGGTTTTGGAGCTCTAAGTTTCTGAACATGCGTTAAAAGACAAAAAAAGTTTTATTCTAAAAAGGTGTTTTGCAGCGGAAGAGTAACAGGTGGCATTTCCCTGTGAGTTCCGCACAGGTTTATCGCCTGTAGCAGTACTTCTTGAAGCTGAAGTACAGCTGCATGATGCCGCGATCGAATACGTTGCGGAAACCTCTAAATCTTTCTAAATGCCATTCGCGATTCAAAACCTTGAATGCAACATCTTCATACGGTGGACCCGCATGGAAACGCACGATGATCGTGTCGGGTGTATCAGAGGGCTCTAGAGTCCACGTGGGGGTCTTGGTCTTGTCGATCAAATCCGGGTAGAATATATTGAACTTATAGCCCTGCACGATCTTCGGAGGCGGGTTATCGTGATCGTAGTGTGTCTGGTTGTACTTATTCCAGAAATAACAAGTCCGTACACGATTGAAAAAACGAGGTTTCCTTGGGCGGTACTTCTCTTCCCACCCATAGTGCTGCGCGCATCAGCAGGTTCAGTGAAAGCAAGTTCAAGTTCAACACAACAACTCTGTCTACAACACGAACAAATCTGAACATGAAATACATTTTCTGTATTCTTATATAATTTCAGTTTTCAAACACGAATATGTAAATATAAACGAGATTACATGAAATTAAAAAATACCTGTTTCAGCTTCATTTCAGATGACGCGGCAAGCACCTCCTCATCAGGACTTGCATTTTTCTGTTCCTTGCGCACGAAATCCTCGTACCTGGCGGAGCATAAACAAACAGATCAAACAAAATAAATTATATTAAACAAAAGCAGAAACTATTTTCAGCGGCTGCTGAACATAGTTCAACAGCCGCTTCCGCTTGAACAAGGTATATCAATACAGGTCCACCAAATACACGAACACTCTACATGCGAAGCTACCAAGAATAAAGATAGTAATAAAACATTCATTCATTCGTCGAAATAACTTTCAATATAGAATAACAAATATGCTAAGAAATATCATAAAGGTATGCTTTGTACTGATGCTACAAATCTATTGACCGGTGTGGTGATGCGGAGCGCTTTCTTACGTAACGATCTTTGCCGCAGGATCTAAGATTTCGTCATCATT